TCGGTACCCTATATATATATATATATATATATATATATATATATATATATATATATTATTTTTTTTTGGCTTGGATCATGAAACATTCTTATTTGTAAAGTTATTAGTGATTTTTGGTCTTATTTCAAGTTCTTTTGGATTAACTATTATTATTATTTTTATTATTATTATTATTATTATTATTATTATTATTATTATCATGTAGTGATCTAATAACAAAAAATTAACTGATCTACGGGCATTATGGTGGCACTGTGGGTAGCATGATTGCCTCACAGCAAGAAGGTCGCTGGCTCGAGTCTCAGGTGGGTCAGATGGCATTTCTGTGTGGAGTTTGCATGTTCTCCCCACGTTTGTGTGGGCTTCTTCTGTTTGCTCCGGTTTCCCCCACAAGTCCAAAGATGTCGTATACTGTAGGTGAATTGGGTAAATTAAATTGTCCATAGTATAAGTGTGTAAATGAGTGTGTATGGATGTTTCTCAGTGATGGGTTGCAGCTAGAAGGGCATCCGCTGCATAAACATATGGTAAATAAGTAGGCGGTTTTATCCGCTGTGGCGACCCCAGATTAATATAGAGACTGAGCCGAAAAGAAACTGAATGAACTGATCTACAGTGGTTGAAGTGACAAACTGCAGGCTTTGACTGCTCATGTCTTAAATCTAAATGAGAATTTTGTCTTTGTTTTTGAGCACAGTTGCTTATAGATAACATTAAGACTTGAGAACCCCCCAAAAGCCTTCATTTTGATCTTAGTGGGATTTTAAGGGATTCAGTTTTTGCATTTTAAGGCTTATGTTTAAGTATAATCTGTGAATGTTGGCAGTTTGTCCGCTTTTTTAGATATAGATGTATGTAGGTAAAAATATATATCTGTATTTCTAAGATAATGTGTTTGGGTTTTAATCATTATTCTCTTGTTGTTTTATTTTAGTTTAGCTTATTATTTTAGAAAGGTCTGCCAACACTCTTAAGCCAATACATTCCTCACTCTCTGTGATATCTTGCTCTTTGCATGCTGGCACTGGAGACAACTCTGATATGAGCTTAAATATGAGATTTATGACCATATTTGCTCTGTTCATTTTTGTGCACTGACTACATAGATTAAGCATAAATGCAGTTGTAACAACTAGCATCTTTCAGAAATTAATTTGGCTGTTAAATAGCTGTTTGGTTGCCATTTTCATAAATTATTGAACTTTGTGTGTGTGTGTGTGTGTGTGTGTGTGTGTGTGTGTGTGTGTGTGTGTGTGTGTGTGTGTGTGTGTGTGTGTGTGTGTGTGTGTGTGTGTGTGTGTGTGTGTGTGTGTGTACAGAACAGGATTAAGCACTGAAAGGTGAACTGACAACTGAAATTACCGGCAGTGTGTGTAGGGCCTTCGTACTGTCACATTTATTGTAGACAGGCAAGGTATTTGTCAGAACTGGTATAAAGGAATTAGGAAAGGTGTTTTGAGAAGTCCAAATATGACTCTTTAAACAGTCTGAACCAACATTTGACTGACTTATGTTGCTCTTGCAGCTTTATCAGTGTACAGCATGATGAAACTGGTGAAACATCTCATCCTTTTCTTGCGCTTAAGATCTGCACTGACCACTCGCTTGTTTTTTTCCCCCTCCCCTTTTAGACTGGTTTATGTGTGTTGTCTTGGTAACTGATTGTACTATCTGAATGTTTTCCTTGTTCAGCAGGTCTTTCATGCCTTTTTTGTTTCATGAGTTGTTTAGTCCTAGTCTTACTGTATGTGTTGATGTAACATCTTCCAGTTTTTCCTCCTCTGAACTCAACCAAATCATCTTAACGTCATGTTTCCCCTTCATAGTTCTAGTGGTGACTGGTAGGATGTTATCTCTCTGGATATGTATCTTTCAGGTTGCAGATTGGGGAGTATCAGACTGTGCATATCTGTGCTGAACAAAATATTATTAAAAATGATGTCTAAAATAATGGGGAGTTTTCATAATGATAAGAGTAAAAATATTTTAGAAGGGCCAGTTTTAGCAACAGTCTGTGCCACATACACCCTCTATAAAAAAGTTCAGTAAGGTTCTATCAAACTGTTAAAAACTAGTGATGAAATGTGGGGACGCAGCTGGTCTTATTGCATTTTTAGGGGTTTCCTTTTCAGATGTAACGTTTATGCAAGTATTAAAATGTATTTACACAGACATCTACAGTAATCTGGATACATTTGGCAATGGGGGTTTTATATAAAAATGCTCCAAGGCCACAATATTGTTTTCAATCTTTCCCGAGTTGGTAATCCATGTCAAAATGACAGAAAACACTTTAATACCTGTATAGCGCATGCATTTGAATGTACAACACTTTGACTTGCCTGGTTTATTCACTTTCCTGCTCTTTAAAAGATTTTTTATGTGAATAAATAAAAAATAAATAATGGACCGACAGTGATATGGAGATGTAGTAAAAAGTATAAAGTGGAATATAAAGTTACAAATGTGAGTGAGAATATAGACTGAAGATGTGTTGAAACAAAAGCTCCTGAGAAAACTTTCCCTGTCCTATTAAAAAAAGCCGAATTTAATGTTGGAAACTGTCCAAAACAACTGCTGTACAATGTCTTCCACCATTTTTAGCTGAACTGTTCACATGATGCACTGAAAAAAAACATAATAATTTAAAATCCTCTGTTTTCACGAACCACACCGCAACACAGATCCACTTTTAATGGTGTTTGTTTCATTTGACTTTTTGCATTATTATTTAGCTTCAAAAAAAGAAAACATTTTGCTGTAATGGGGTATATGCACAGCTTGTGTTTTTCAGCCAATGATAACGTTCAGCCAATGATAACGTTGTCATAGTTGCTTTTACAGCATCAATGTTGTAATGGAATTACAATACATTCATTTAAATAGACTAAATTATTAATTTAGTTGTTCAAGCATAAAACGAGATTTAAGACTATTTAAGATCACAGAAACTCTGTTGAAAATACTGGGGTAAAATAAACTGTCATATTATAAAGACATGGTGGGGGAAAATGTAATTGAATGCAGTGCTTCTTGTCCGGTCTGACACCTACGTTATATCCTATAACCATCAATCAGTAAAGAACAGTGATTTTTAAAGAAAGCAGACCTTAAACGTGGCAATTTTTTTAATGGAAAGACAGATCACAGGAAGCACTGAGGCTGGCTGGTTGAAATTAAAAAAGGTCTGTGTGCATATACACCATTATTGCTGCAGTAAAAACAAACACAAAGAACATTTCCAGAATAAGATGTTATCAGGACATATTGAATGCCAAGGCACATTCTTTTATATGTATACCTTTTGGTCAATTGTTTTGATTGTTTTACAGAAATTAGCTGCTGTGCTTCTGTGACTCCCGGCTAGAGACTCTAATGTAATGGTCTCAAACTCAGTTCCTGGAGCGCCCCAGCTCTGCAGATTTGAGCTCCAACAACCTCCAAATTACACCAGCTGAATAGTCTATAGTAGTTTTGAACACCTTGGCTGCGTCCGAAACTGCATACTTCCGTACTATATAGTACACTAAAATCAGTATGCAAGCCGAGTAGAATGTCTGAATTCATAGAATTCTAAAATTAGCATGCAAGAAGTACCCGGATGACTAACTACCTCCGGCGAGATTCTGAAGTGCGCATCCCATGCACGCTGTGCTATTTCATGAATGGGAGTGAAGCGACGCAACTGGCGCATGTAGGTCACGTGACCATGACAAAATGGCGGGTGTAGTATGTCCGAAATCTATTCATACTTTTCATATTCATACTGTAAACAACCCACTTTTCTAATGGCCGAGTAGTACGTTTAAATTCAAATGCAGGACCTACTGAGTAGTAGGTGGTTTCGGACGCAGCCTTTGTCGTGAATTCGACTTCTTATCAATTAGAAATGATCAGACCGGAGGTTTTGAATATCAGAAAATAGACTTTATTCTCCATAATAAAGTCGAGAAAGAGCAGAGCAGACCCCAGAGCATTCTGAAGTCTCTCCTGGACACTTCCTATCTCTGGTACTCTTTTTCCAAAGTCTCTCCTGCTCCTTCTAAAGTTTCTGTGTGTTTCCAAAATCTTTATACGGTTATTTGACACACCCCTAGGTGTCTCATTTTAACTTTTAACCATTTTAGGATAGGTTTTTACTCTAGGTGGCCCTGCTATTCTTGTCTCTCAGCCCACTAGCTCATGTCAACAGAGACGTTACAGGTCTGTGTCAGCAACTGTTTTGACACCAGAGCATAGATGCAAAATAACTAAGTGTTTACATACATTGTCATGATAGGATAATAACTTGATAATATGTTACTCCTTCTAACTTCTGACACATATAGCTTCATACAAGTATTTAACATGTATAATCAGTGCTTTACATATTCAGTTATACACAATCAGACATTCAGTCATTCTTCTCCTAGTGTTACTGCTGTGCAGGCATACTCATCTTACACAGTATTTTTAACACACGCTGGCATGTTTGCTGCAAACACTACATACATTTTGAGAAGAGAAAATTAACTGCTTTACACTTAGAAAATACGCTTTACACTTTACACTGAGAGAATAAAATCTTCTTCACCTTTGTTTAGTTGGATCAGTGATTAGGCTTGGGGCAAAACTGTGCGGATTTGCAGCCATCCATGAATTAAGTTTGAGACTCTAATGCATGTGAGGACAATTTATAGCCTTTTTTAACAGCAACTGGAATAATAAAACTAGTCTATGTCATTATATGAAATTCAAATAATGATCAGCGCTACGATGCACACACCACGTAATGATAATCCTTTCACAAATAACTGAGTTAATAGACCATTTCAATGTGGTTGTGTCTTTGGCCCATGAACATTTCCTGTTTGTTATCAAACAATTTCATAACTGTAACAAAAGGCAATTCAGTCATGACTTAACATTAGAACAGCTACTGTATCATAACATTATTTATCAATATTTATCAAAACTCTTTTTGGATTCTCAGAAGCTATAGAAATTAAAAATGTAACACAGGAAATATGTTGGGATAATTTTTTTTATTTACATTGCTCAAAATGGTCCATAAATAAATTTCAAACAAAGATGGAGTTTATTATGCCCCTTTTTACAAGATGTAAACTAAGGCCCAATCCCAGTTCTAGCCCTTAGCCCATCCCCTTACTCCTACCCCTCGTTTTGCGGGTTCACATCAAGGGGTAGGGTTTTCCCAATTCTGTTTAGCTATGACTATCTATAATCCATAATAATAACTCCTATATAGCAGTCTCACAACATTCTGACACTCTCTGACCCTCGAATACCCTATCAGTAATGTCTAGCGGCTGGGTATGGGCTTTTTACTGTGTCTGCTATAATTTTAATATTGTTTTCGGTGTGTTTACATGAATATGGCCACTGTGTTAAATGCACAGTATTACGATCTTATTGCCACATTGTATCGTTATGATAACATAATAAACGCCTTCAGCGATTTCCTAAAGATATATACAAAAAAATAGCACAACTGGAATAACTACAGCAGTCGCGATCGTCTGATCTCATATGAAGCAAGACATCTCGATGACATTTGATGACGTGTGCAGGTGCTGTAGTGCTGTCCCAATTTTTAGGGTTAAATTTTAAAGCCCTTCCCTTTCACCCTTGGTGGAGTAGGGTAGGGGTCCAAAAATAGAATTGGGATTGGGCCTACGTCACTGATGTCCCTAGAGTGTGTATATGATGTTTCAGCTCAAAATACCACATAAATAATGTTTTATAAATCTTTAAATCTGCCCCTTTTAGCCTTTGATTCTAATTGTGCCATTTTGGTGATCATCCCTTTAAATTCAAATGAGATTGTGCTCTTTTGAAAAGAGGGTGGAGCTACAAATCCCTCTGTGTTAGCATAGAGGCACATTCAAAAACAAGACTAACTTCATATGCTACTGAGGGAGAGATCATCACTAATGGGCGGGGTTTCAATCAAAGTGTTTCTACAGACTGATTTTAAAGTGTGATTATACAAATATATAATAAATCGATTTGTACAATTAGAAGCTGGTTATATTCACAGACTGTTGCTACACAACTGTGTTTAAACCCCTAATAAATGTGATTTCTGCATAATAGACCCCTTTAGGAGAACCTAAAGATCTATATTTTAAAACTTTTACCAATGCTTTAAACAGAAGTCTTGTAAATGTGTCTTTCCAGTGAGACATTCTTTAAAATATTTGGGTTATAAAATGATTTGGAATTTTTTTTTGACATTGTAGTCGACCTGTTTAACATTTCTGAAATACCAGGAATGGTGCAATGTGCAAGACGATTTCATATAATTGCAACATTATATTAAAAGAAGAATCATGTTTAACTTAGCCCAGCTTTACATGTTTTATCAACTTTAAACAAGTACTTTTCTTTCTGTTGCCAGCTATTGAATGTGGAGTTCCTACTATTAAATTTGGTAACCAGACTGAAGGAAATCCTCCATACCTACATAAAAGCCAAGCCACTTTTGAATGCTTGCCAGGTTACAGGATGAATGGTTCGGCCACATCAGTGTGTGAGGAGAGAGGCTGGTCTGCACTGCCTGAATGTGTTAAAGGTAAGCTTAACCTTCTGAAGGCCTTAACACTTGCCATTTTTTCCCCAAGCTGTGCATTCATGAAATGAGTGATAAGTAGGGCCTCACAGAATCTGAAGCATTCTGATGAGAAACCGCTGCATTCTGATGATTTAAACATGGTGGAATGTGTTAAATGGAGCCTGAATGTTGCACTTTTATTGGTAGCTAACTGTGTTATTTGAAGTGTCATTGGAAATAATTTTTCATAGCACATTTAGCATATTTTTGTCAGTATCCATCACTCAAACATGACAGCAAAAACTAAAATTTCTATTAATTAAATAATCCTGCAAAAAAGGAATCTTGTCTATGTATACAGTGCATAACACAAATGAGATGAGTACACCTTTTTTGAAAATGAGTATGTTTATGCATTTCTGAGTGAATATCCGCTTGTTAAGTGTGACGTCACTCAATGCGGATTAGTTTTAAGAAACACTGATTTCATTACAATTCTAAATGGCATCTTTGGAAATCTTTTCTGCTAGAGATACTGTTGTCCTAAAAAAAAAAAAAAAAAAAAAAACGTAAATAAAGAATCTTACACATACCATAGGAATGGTATAGCAGAAAATTTTGGTGGTTTTAAAACCTTGACTTTTCCAAACCACTGTATACCTTGAAAACATGCCTAGGGGAGACTCAACAAATGGTAATCATAAATGTTTACAAACCGATGTTATACTTTAAAAAAATCACAATCACATTATATCCATGCCTAATATTAGATGGCCAGAAAGTGGTAATTTTTTTATATATTGTTAAAATAGTGGTGTCTGTGATGCAGCAATTAGAGAGACTGTTGTGTACACCATGACTTTATATAAAATTAGACTAAAAAGAGGTCATAAACAAACATTTTCTCAATTAAAATGGGTAGTATCTTGGACCTAGATACAGTATTCCATTCGTCACTACTTAACAAGCGAATAGATAATATATTTTTGTACATTAAACAAAACAGGAGGGCGGCGCGGTGGCACAGTGGGTAGCTCTGTTGCCTCACAGCAAGAAGGCCGCAGGTTCGAGCCTCGACTGGGTCTGAGTTTGCATGTTCTCCCTGTGTTTGCGTGGGTTTCCTTTGGGTGCTCCGGTTTCGACCTTAAATCTAAAGTCTTCTTTCTCTTTCTCTCTCACTCGCTTGCTTCCTTCCTTCCACTCTCTCTCTCTCTCTCTCTCTCTCTCTGTGTCAATTCTCAGCAACGCCCACTCCAGTATCCCATTCGTCTGTAAAGATGTCAATCTCAATTACACCCTGTGATGTTATCACCTTCGCTGCCAATCGGAATGGGAGCTCAAAGTTTGAAAGGGACGCGAATGGGGATGCTCATTCTGCTTGCTCTGTCTTGCCTGCTTTCTCTTTGCCTTTTATGTGTACGTTTTGGCTGGTTGTTATATGCTATGATATTAATGTGAATTTAGAGTTTGGTTTAGATTTTGCTGTTTGACTTTTCACTTTTGTAAATAAACTCACTTATTTTTGCTGTATTTTGGTAGTCGTTTTGCTATTTTGCCACCAACTCACCACAAAATGTAATCGCATCAATGTTTATGTTATGGTAACACCATCATGTTACCTCTTTTAACCTTAAAACCAAAGTTGAAAGTTGTAACAGGGTTTTTCCCAGTGATGGGTTGCAGCTGGAAGGGCATCCGCTGTGTAAAACATATGCTGGATAAGTTGGCGGTTCATTTCGCTGTGGTGACCCCAGATTAGTAAAGGGGCTACACCTAAAAGAAAATTAATGAATGAATGTGTAACGTGAAATGACACTGACAAAGGGGTGCGGATCCAAATGCAGGGTTTATTTGTGAACCGAAATGACATTGACAAAGGGGTGCGGATGCAAATGCAGGGTTTATTAGCAAGATGGTCAGGCAAGCAACAGTCAACACAGCAAACAGATGTATACGGGCAATCCAGAGTCATGGTCATTACAGTTTTTTACAATGGCTATGACAGTTTTTTCAATACATTTAACAAGTTTTCTAAACTCTTAACGCAGCAACACACCTAAAATACACAATTGGCAAAACAGTTATTTTTATGCTCAAAATCACACATTGTAAACTAAACCTCTAAACTACTTTTCAAAATACAATAATAAACAAACACAATACACTATGTCTAACAAAACACTGCAAACCTGTTTCAAAATGACATAATTGTTCAAAACACTAACACATGTTCTCTTCCAACAGAAACATTCAGTCAATCAGAACACACGGACATTAAAAACACTATCATCAGCTAAAATTACAGAAACTGCATTAGTTTATGTGTCAGCTTTGCCCTTATATTTTAAGACTCTCTACATTTTCATTTTGTTGGGTTTAGTAAATGCATTTTCTTTTATTTTACTGCAAATGTTCAATGCAAAAATACAGAAAAAAATTGCTTTATAACATTTACAGTTGATGTAAAAAAATACAGGCACATAATTGCTGCAGTAGACTTTATTTGCAAAAGGCAATCACTGCAAGATTTACAAACAGAAAAAGCATCACAATTATAATTAAAAACTAAATAATTTTCTATACTGCCTGGTCTTCTGCATTTGCCCGACTTCTTCTCTGGCCCGGCATGGTAACGATAGCCCTTTAACCTATTATGTTTCTCCTACGGCGACGCCTTTTCGCCAAGTTGAAGCCAGCCTCGTCAACATAGATAATTTCATGTGGGACTTGATTGACCTCCAACTTCACTGTACTATAACTAATGTATGTACTAATGAACGCCAGGTTTATAAAGTAGGTTACTGCAAAACACACTGTGCATAGTAAAGTAATGACTGTATTGCATAACCTTACCTGGACGTATTGGTAACGGAGTTCTGCAATGTGCTCCTTGTTCCTTTCAAAAACCTCATGAGTCCTTTTTTTAGAACATACAGTATGATCATGTGATTTGAAAAATCTCAACACAGGAGTGTGCTTTCTAGATGGGAATCATGTTCATATGGGAGATGGGAGCTGTCATAAATATATATATATATATATTTATATATATATATATATATATATATATATATATATATATATATATATATATATATATATATATATATA